TAGTAGTAGTAGCAGCACTAGTAATAATAGGACACAGAAGAGCAATAGCAATAAGTAGAATAATACGTATAGCAATAAGAAAACAGTAATGTTACTGGAGTATTGTTATAACATTACTTTAGTATTCCTCTGAGAGTACGCTGATAATGATGTTACCACCTCAATATTTCACACCATAGTACTCGTGGTACTATTCAGAACATGGGCGGGCAAGGTCCACGGTCTTAGAAGGGCCTCTTCTGCTAGGCGGCGCTGAAGGACGCGGTGGGCCGGCCCATCTTGCAGGCGCGCGATGCCAAAGCGAGGGCTCTGCCTTCAAGTCGAGTCTAGGCACTGCACACTGCACGACCGGTGGCCCCCACAAAAAACTGTTAGGATTGAGGCAGGAGGCGAGGCACCATGTGATCAGTTGCGAGGACGACCCATCACACAGCCAAGGTCACCTGCAACTTGCATCTGCTGCGATCTACACCCGACGCACAGGAAGAGGCTCGACAAAGATAGCAGATTGCATGGGCGTGGCTGTGCGGACTCCCGGCCGAAGGCAGCTGCAGGCCCTCATCCAGCGCTGGAGAGGCTCTCTTGGGAGTTTTTTTCGCAGGAACGTGCCTTTACGCGATTTTGTTGGTGAAGATGTTCTAAGTAAGCAAAGCTTCCGCTGGAGATTGCTTGCCGTTCGTACGGAAAGTCATGTATGCGGAACTGTCCTGTCGTGTGCTCCTAATTTCCTCCAAGAATCCGCTTGACCGCTTCAGGTGCGACTGGTGCTGCCCTCCTTTGACTGCTTTGGCAACGCTCCTGCCCAAAAGTCCGACCGGCGGAAGGAACGTGCGATGCTTGGAACGAGGCCCCAACAGAAGCGCTGGCATGTCCGAAATGTGCGAGGTCTTCGAGAGAGAGAGAGAGAGAGAGCGAATCTAGAGGGAATCCCCTGCACCACAGCCCTGCGAAAGAAAGAGAGCGAATCACGAGGCGGTATGTGTGTTTGTGGGCCTTCTATTATGCACCCGAGTCGTGTCCAGATCTCAAAGTTTTGGGAGACACCATGAAGTCCTGCCTGATGTGGCGCCGAAGACTTCATGAACAGTGCGGACTGGAATAGCTCCTTGTGATTCGCAATTTTGGCCCAACGAGCTTAGAAACAGTATCCAGCCTCTGCGCACTCAGCAAAGCACGGCAACCAAGTCCTTCGATGCACGCTGCATGTTCGTCCTACGGGACCGTTTACGTACGTCCAACTCTCGCCACACTCCTTCAATCGCACTGACTCGCGAGCTGCCCGGCAGCCCCCTGGCTGGGCCTCATGGACCGACGGGGCTTGCAACCACGGGGCTTTCCTGGTTTCTGAAGATGGGGTAATTTCTCAGAGTTCTGGCGCCTCTTGCAGGGCCCCAGGTCCAGGTGTTGAAAGCGAGGTCTCCGAATGACTTGGCTTCTGTTCGCATCCTCGACGTTCTCTGATATTCTCAGCTGCTCTGTGCTGAGATCATATTGCAAGAAGACCGTAATGGTACTATCTATGTGTTATTACTACTTGGAGGTTCATGGGTAGTTATAAGTGGAGTTATATGTTCCCTAATATGGGTTATAACTACAGTTACCCTACTTATAACCTCATTTGTAACTACCCATGAGCCTCCAAGTATGGTATTACTAACTTGCAGGAGGATGGGCGCACGGCACTCTTGCAGCCGAGTGGCTTTGGCGGTGTGATGGAAGAGTCCCGAGGCTGCACTTCCAGGTCAGCCGGGGCGCAATGCTGTTCTAATGTTATAGGTAATACTGTAGTATGATTATAGGTAATACTATAGTATGATTATAAGTAAAAATACAGTAATACTATGGGAATATTGGGGCAGTGCTGTAGTTTTTGTGTATGATTGTGGGCCCTTGGACTTAAGGCTTGACCTGCTCCATTGCCAAGAGTATGATAGATAGATAGAGCAAACTTAGAATCTAGAATAGTTTAGGATATAGCTAGAATAAGGGTCCATCACCTCTGTCTGCCGCACTTCCTGTGTGAACAATGTTGGCAAAGCACGGCAGGGCCGATACTTTCTTACATTCGCAGGCTTCAGCGTGGCGCCCCGTTATGATGATAACCTCGATGTTTCTGTACGGCGCGATTTGCTGTTAAGAGTGAGCTGTAACGACAGGACGTGTTGGAGGATTCAGGGCAGATTATGCATAATGTGTTCTTTCACCCCACAAGCAGAACGTCCGTCTGGCTGAACAGCTCTTTTTTGGTTGAACCTGATCTTCCTAAAATGGATGGGCTGGTGGCATGGACGTTATCATAGTTTGGGCATGGATGCGCTGGCCAATGGATAGGCTGGTACCATGGATGTTATCATGGTTTGGGCATGGATGCAGACCTGAGCGACAGTGAGAGTGCGGTAAACGAGGGTGATGGAGCCCAGAATCACGTCAGACTTAACTTTTTACTTGTACTGGGATAGAACTAGTATCTGATAACTATCTACTAATACTAAGATAGAAGTAGAATCTTAACCAAACCCCGAAACCCTAAACCCTTAAGGCCCTTGAAGACCCAACTAAGGTATGCCTCTGAGTTCATGCGCCTGCGCGCAGATGCCATGGCCCGGCTCCAGTCTCTGAAGGTTTGGGGCGGCTTGGGTATGACCTATAATAATTACACCAAGAATAGTAACTATAGTCATACTAGTAGAAATAAAGTAACAATACTTCACGATTACCAGAATGATACTATAAGAGTATCATCGTACTACCTATAATGATTCTATAATGTACCTATAAATTACGATAAGGACTCTATCATGACTATGATTCTGTTGTCGCACTTTACATGTTCACCGCGGCCTGACCCCTAAACCCTCAACCCTAAATCCTAAACCCTAAACCCTAACCCACTTGAGGGACCCCGGCCTCTGATGTGCAGAGGAGTCCCCGAGCCCGGGCAAGACGAAGTCCCTGGAGAAGGCCGTCGAGTCTTGCCCGAATTGGGTTTAGGGGTTTGGGTAACGGTTGAGGGTAAGGGTAACGGTTGAGGGTTTAGGGTTTATAGGGTTTCTCGAATTGGGTTTAGGGGTTACTTGGAGGTTCATGGGTAGTTATAAGTGGGGTTACAAGTAGGGTAACTGTA